TTAGCTAAAACAAAATTTTTTAAAAATATTTTAATATGACCTCATGCTGCTTTTTTGGTTTAAATTTTTTCTGCTTTACTGGAACTATCAGACTCGAATCCCACTTCGGTGAGCTACTAAGAAACCAGCCATGCCATGTCCATATGGAGGTAAGCAGTCAGTGGTAGCAACTCGTAGAGTTCGTTTTACACATAAATGCAGCCATATATAAAGCAAGCAAGCACATATTTCTCTATTCTCAAAAATGTACACCAAGGCACATTCTTCTAATAAGCCTGTGTTTGTATTAACACTATAAATGAATAAAATATAATGGTTTACAAAAAAAAACAAAAAAAAAACGACATGACGGCTTAGTGGTTAGTACTGTTGCCTCTCAGCAAGAAGGTCGCTGGTTTAAGTGCAGGCTAGGTCAATTGGCATTTCTGTGTGGAGTTTGCATGTTCTCTTCGTGTTGGCGTGGGTTTCCTCCTGGTGCTTTGGTTTCCCTCACAGCCCAAAGACATGTGGCACATGTCCACATACACACTCATACGTGTGTGTGAATGAATGAATGTATGTGTGTATGTATGTACTGTGTGCGTGTGTGTATTACATACTATATAATCTTGGAAATGCACTACTTTTAAATTTTTCATGAAATCTACATTTCTTACCTCAGTTATTTTAGTCTTGAAGAATCCCCCTACCCCCCTACTCCTCCCTTTTCCTTGATAGGGTGGCACGGCAGCCCAGTGGTTAGCACTGTCGCCTCACAGCAAGAAAGTCACCGGTTCAAGTTCTTACCAGGGCAGTTTATTTATAGGAGTTTAAGTGTTCTCCTTGTGCTCGCGTGGGTTTCCTCTGGGTCCCCCAGTTTCCTCCCATCATCCAAAGACATGCGACTAAAGTTATTTGACTAATCCAAATTGGCACCATAAATGTGCTACTATAGCAGTATATCTTTTTATATCAATTCCTATTTGGTCATTAGCTATAAACAACGGAGGTGATCACCAGATCTACCTGATCTCAAACTCCACTCTCGCCCTACAAACGGGAAAAAGCCCCGAGCTTAAGGTGTGAAAGTGTGAACACTTGAAGTTTTTTTTTTTTTTTAAATCAAAGCAAAGGGTTGGTTTTTAATTAGATATATAATATGTTCATATATTCCTAGCCAAAAATATTCTGATGGCTATCAAATTTAGGAGAAAATCATTCAATGCTGGAAGTGGCAGGCAACTTAAAACTTAAAAAAAAAAATGTTAACCATAAAATACTGACAACCACTGTTGCTGTTTTTTATTAAAGAAATTTTACACATTTATTTTAAAAAGCTGACTTTTTAATCATAGTAATGTTTGTTTTTTACAAAATTTTCAAGAAACCTACCTGCATTTAAGTGGGTATATGAACATGTAAAGATAGAATAAAATGTTTTTTTTTTTTTTTTATTTATTATTTTTTTAATGAAAGCAAAGGGTTGGCTTTTTAACTAGATGTATAATATGGTCATATATTCCTAGCCAAACATTTTTTAGGGCTGTCTAATTTAGATGAAAATTATCAAAAAATGCTGGTAGTGGCTGGCAACTAAAATAATACACAGAGAGACTTTTAATCACAGTAAGCTTTGTCTTTTAGACATTTTTTCATGAAACCTACCCATCTAAGTGGGTATAAAACATGAACACGTGAAGATAGACTATTTATTTATTTATTTATTTATGAAAGCAAAAAGGGGTGACGCAGTGGTGCAGTAGGTAGTGCTGTCGCCTCACAGCAAGAAGGTCGCTGGGTCGCTGGTTCGAGCATCAGCGTTTCTGTGTGGAGTTTGCATGTTCTCCCTGTGTTCACTTGGGTTTCCTCCGAGAGCTCCAGTTTCCCCCAGAGTCCAAAGACATGCCATACAGGTGAATTAGGTAGGCTAAATTGTCCAAAGTGTATGAGTGTGTGTGTGTAGATGGATGTTTCCCAGGTATGGGTTGCGGCTGGAAGGGCATCCGCTGCGTATAAACTTGCTGGATAAGTTGGCGGTTTACTCTGCTGTGGCGACCCCGGATTAATAAAGGGACTAAGCCGACAAGAAAATGAATGAATGAATGAATAAAAGCAAAGGGTTGGTTCTTTTATTGGATACTTAAAAATCATACTTGATACTTGAAAATCAGCAAAATTGTTGACAGTGACAGGCAACTTTAAAAAAAAAAAAATACCCTGGCAAGGAAAGAGTTAATGAAAACACTGGCAACCACAGCAACCATTTTTAATCGATTTATTTTGAAGTGATGTAAATGAGAAACTTTAGTGTTTGCTGATACCTGTTGTCTATGAGAGCAGCTATTTTTGCTAACAATAGAACATTTGTAAACAATAGAAATACTTTTAACCACTGCTTTCTTTGCACATATGTAACAAGGTGGCAAAAAAGTGAAGGCCACTGTATCTCAGGAAGAGCAGCGAGGGTTGCGTGCAGACACTGCATATGTGCTAGTGAGCTCCTGTGAATACCAAAAGGCCTAATCTTACATGTGTTTACAAGGTACACTTATGTAATCAGGTGAGGAATTGCAGGAACGAGCAAACAGCAAGGTGTGTGACTGAACGCTCACATACAAACACACACAAACTTGAGCCTTGTAGACACTGAATAAGAAACAGTGTAAACAGAAGTTACTCCTGTAAACTTTATCCGTACTTTGGGACACGTGCATCACGCAATAATGTGTGTGTGTGTGTGTGTGTGTGTTTGTGTGGGTACTTGCTCAAACGTGTAAGCTTGCATTCCCTGTTCGTTAGATTATAGAGTTTTAATGATGTTCTCTCGGGCTTCATTTCTCATGCCTCATCTCCTTGACCTCTGCCTGAGCAATCTGCTGTGCTGACCCATTAATCAAGATTAAATGGATACAGCCATTCAATGAGCAACTCGCTTCATTTTTCCATTACCTTAGTCAAGATGAATACAGACTGAAAGATGAAACAAGAGATTAAAATTAGATAAGGGAAAAAATATTATTTTAGACTAAAAAATATAAGATATTGTAAAATTAAATGATTTCAATTTAAAATGACTTGTTCTCTATTTTATTGTATATTTTATTGGTATATTACTTTTGGCCAAGTTCAGTATCTTTAGACACAGGGTTAAATATATAGGGTATAAGTATAAATTTTGTTTTTAATTTCAATGGATTCCTGCTGATCTCTTGAAAAATCACAGCACTACTGGTAGTTGTCACCAAACTTGTCCGGCTTAAAGCTTCACTCAGGCTGGGTGATTGGCACTCTTCATTTGCATTTGATTTATCATTTGCTGTGTTAGTTTAAGCATTTGATTTATAATTTAAGCATTTGATTTATCATGTAATTATTACAGGTTTAAACTGAGTTGATTGTGAAAATTAAATATCAAACACATTTGACTTCTCATTTGAGAATGCATTTTAATTTATTATTTGATCTATTTAGGCATTTGAATTGTCTTTTTTTTTGTTGGGAAAAATCTTCCATGGATGTCACTTAATGATCTTCAATTTAAGTATTTTGAAATTAATGACACATTTTATTTTTGACACCACCAATTTGTTATATCATTTCACATATTCATTTATTTCGACTATCTCACACTGAAATAGAGCTATCATTACAAATAAGAGACCATATTAAAAATCTGTTTTTTTCTGATGGTTTGAGGTGTGTGTTTGAATAAGTATGTCAGTGCTAATATTGAAATACTTAATATTTTCTTTATTCCATAAAGCTTAAATAAAAAATGCCATTTTTCTCCCTTGGAAACTGACAATTGGACAGAAAAAAAAATGCTTCAACTATGTTGTGATATAAATTAAAAGTCATTTAAATAATGTTAATGTTTTAACTATTATAGAGTTACAACTTTAATATTCTGTTGTTTTCTAAAAATGTATATACAGTATGCTGAAATGTCACAAAGCATGGCAATTTTTTTGCCATTTTATGTAAAAATTCTCCAAAAGGCAACAATTGTTTTTAACAGCAATTCTCTCACAGACACCTAAAGTGTTGTTTGCCATGTGATTCTGAAATGTGGAGTCAAGCATGTAATGTGTAATCAAATGGAATAGTCTTTCAGCTCGCCACAGAACACAAACACGCACAGAAACTGCAGACATCCAGACATGCGCATGAGATCATACGGAAAGCTTCTCTGAGTGTTTTACTGTAGTGGAAGCTGGCAGACAGTAAAGGCTGTTATTATCATGTTCCTGCAGCTTCAGCCACTCAGAGAAAAAGAAAATGAGAGAGGTCGAGAGAAAGAAAGAAGAGAGAGAGCGAGAGTGTCTTTACAGTGGCTGCTGGAACCACAATGCACTTTAATTTGCAGTTTACATTGCCATTCAGCATACAGAAAAGCATGGCTAAATGTTGGACATTATAGTGGCCTCTTCAAAAAGTGCTAAAATATAACTGACAGCAGGGTTAGTCCATTCCAGAGCCACGAGAAAGTATGAATGCTACGCCAAAGTCCCTTTGAAACAAGTAATTTCACTTGCCTGCCATCATCAAAAGCCTTTTAGGCAGTATGCTCGGGCATTCTGTCTAAATTGGGAAACATCAAATTCACCAAAATTGCTTGCAATGGATGCGATAAAATTTCATAATAGGAATCAACAATAAAATTAAACAACAACTCTCTTTAGTGCTATTTCTAAATGTTCGAATCACCAAAAGTCTGTAAAAACTCATAAAAACACACTGGTCTGGTCTGAGCCCTTCCTCCAGACAATCAACAGTCTATACCGATCAATGATTGGCTCCTATACTAGAAGGCGGGGTTTTATTTGCCATACTGACCATTACACTTTTCTACATTCAAAGCATTCAAAGTGACATGACTTGTGTATTCTATAGTCTTTGGTCATGTGAAGGTAAAAAACTCATCAGCTTATGTGATTGTGGTTGGTGGACGATTAATATTTTGTGTAAGCAGTTTTGGACGGATGGAAAGGGAAGGGATGGATGATTGCTTGTTAACTGACCTCATTTTTTGGTCTTGCTCCAGGGGTTCCGGTGGGTCCTGATGAAGACAACGATGAAGAAGAGCGATAAAGTGGGGTGTTTAGAGACTGTGAGGAGGCTGAAAGACTTCCGGCTGAATCCAGAGTTTCTAAGTCAACATCCTGTTTGAGAAAGGAGCATTGTCCTGGGTATTATTAAAAACAATCATGCACATCCAAAGTTTGTGTTTCAAACTTTTATGCTAGATACACAGTAGAACCTCAAACTAATATTTTGTCACACATGCTAATAGATGGGGACAGGCATTAATTGATTAATTGACTGACTGACTAACTGACTGACTGACTGACTGACTGACTGACTGACTGACTGATTGATTGATAGGTAAAATAAAACTAAATTAAAAATAAAAATAGAATAAAATAAAAAATATATACTATTATTGATTATTATTATTATTATTATTATTATTATTATTATTATTAGTAGTAGTAGTAGTAGTAGTAGTATTGATTAATGTATTTGTTTTGCCAAATTATACAAATTAAACCATTTTAAACCACTAAAATCAACCAAATTAATCAATACATATTATAATATAACAACAGTTAAACTAAAATATTTCACTTAACATTAATTCGTACTACTTTTAGTAACATGACAACAACCAGTACTACTAATACTATTACTACTACTACTACTAATAATACTTTAGATTTTTATATATATATTTAGCACTCTGTGGATGCTAGTTTTAGGTCCTGGTTGTGCTGAAGATTGTTTTGGGTTGTTTCATTCATCAGCGTCTGATTTGTGTCACTCACAGAAATGATCCGCCTCTTTAAATTGGGTGTGCTATTTAGGGAGGAGCTTAGAGCATTTTCAATCTCTTTGTCCAGCTGATCCAGCTTCATTATTAGTAGAACCATTGAGTCCAGCCGGGACCTCTCCTTCTCCCTCTCTTCATGTGAGCTCTGAAAGGAGAAAAACAGATTTTATTCAAGTAATCTAATCTTAAAACCAGAACTGACATCAATTCGATCGCTCTCATTGACCATTATTTAAACACATCACAGCAGACAAGACACAAACTCAGAACAAAAAAAAATACAGAATCATTATGTGCAACCTGCGGAAACAATTCACTTAATTTATTATTCCTTTTTTTTTTTAAAGATTGGCTGTTCAGAAAAGAAAGAATGGTAAAAGAAAGAATGGAAAAAAAAAGAAAAAAGAAAGAAAGATTCAATCAATTTCCGATAGTCATTCAGACAACCAACCAACCAATTATCAAACCAACCATTCAACCAACCAATCATTCAACTGATCAACCAACCAACAAACCATCCAACCAACCAACCAACCAACCAACCAACCAACAAACCATCCAACCAACCAACCAACCAACCAACCAACCAACCAACAAACCATCCAACCAACCAACCAGCCAGCCAGCCAACCAACCGACCGACCGACCGACCGACCGATCGATCGATCGATCGATCGATCGATCGATCAATCAATCAATCGTCAGCTAGTCAGTCAGAAAACTAAACAATCAATCAATGTCAAACAATCCATCAATGTCAAAAAGTCAGACAGACAACCAACCAACCAATAAACCAACCAACCAACCATCCAACAAAACAACCAGTTTAAGAGCCAATACATCATGATTAATTTATTATAGTACGAAGAGTAAATAACTGAGCATTAAATGCTGATAACGACAGAACTGTTTTAAAATACAGACAGTGAATGCATTTATTGGCTTTTCAAACCCCCCTTCTGTGCATCTTTCCCACATTGGCAGAATGATGAATGCACTAAAGTGAAGCAGAGAGAGAGACAGAAGTTGTAATGCTACTCAAGCAGAGAGGAATGATGCTGGCACTTGCCCCGTGCCTGAACCAGGCCTGTGCAAACAGCCCCACACAAAGCACGGCAGTGTGTAAAGGCCTTGCATAGCTTGTTCTGGTATTTACCCTTAATACACGCTTGTCTATCAGTGAGCACACAAGCAAAGAGAGAGAGACACTTGGCTAATAATAAGCTAACAAAAAAATACAATCCATTCTCCAAAACAAATTTTATCCAGACACCTTGAAGGATTTCATTAGATTATGTTCATTTTAGTTTTTTAATTTAGAGGTCATGATAAGCATTATCTGACAGACATCTTTCATGAACATGTCTATATGGAAACAAGATCACTTTGGTAATTTCTACATATATGTAGTTGAAGACAATTAATTACCCCTCTTGTGGATTTTGTATTCTTTTTGTCGTTTAAAGGGGATTATAATGGGTTAAACAAAATTGTTTGGCAACATTGTGTGAATACAGCCTGCCGCTGAATTGAAAAAAATACTTAGTTCTAATGTTTTGTATAAAAAAGTCTGCAGAAACTTTAATTGACATTCTCCCACTGTACATGCCATCAGAGGGGGAAAGCCCTGCCTATTAACGACGATATCTCCCTAGTTGCCATAAACAGCCCTAAGTGAGAAGCAGCTGTCCACCATTAGTGTTTTCACCACATGAAAATAATGGGCTCTATTCTACTGTAATCGCAAAGTCTAAAGTGCATGGCGCAAAAGCATTAAGGTTGTGTCCGAATCCACTTTTGCTTTTTTAAGGATGGAAAAATAGGCTCTCTGGCCTGGTGCATGGTCTAACATGGCTGTGCTTATTCTCTTAATGAGTAATGTGTGTGTTTTGAGCATAACATGCATTCAACTAATCAGAGTGCCATCTCCCATTCTCTTTTTAAAATTCAGTTGAATCACGCCATGACACATTTGCTATTTACATAGCAAGACATAGGCAGACTTTGCAAGTGGAAAATCTAAATGCTTCACGAGCGAGAAAACAGTTAAACAGGCCATCGGCAGCGTGAGCATAAAGAAGCCTCCTCCATTTGTCCTCTTTAGTTTCTCTACTTTTTTTTCTACTTTTACTCTTTACTTTACTCCTTTACTTTTGTGGAAAAGGAAATGGTGTTGTGTGCAAAACTATTCAAAACTATTTCTAAGTTCAGTTCTAATTTCCAGCAAATTAATAAATGAACAATAATAACAAAGCGTGGTCAACAAACTAACAAACACATGCCCTATTCTTATGCCCAATATGGTGATTTATACATCTCCAAAACCCGACAGGTGGGCAAATCCAAACTAGATTTTATTAAAACAAATTTAAATATGCGTATAATAAATTATACTGCTAATAATAATAACATTATACAAATGCAAATTGTCATGAGCTGAAAAAAGCAACAATGTGGAGAAGGCATGTGGGTAGTGGTTTATAAATTTATGTAGAAAATAATCATTTTTAATTTTAATGTAACATTTTAATCTTTTTTTTTTTCATTTGTAAAGATTTCTGTGTATTGATGTACATCCTGTTTATATTAAGCAATGTGTAAGCATTTGAACCCACATAGGCGCGTAACTAACGTGCTCTGCACTGGACTTTACACCTGCTTTTTGATGGTCAATGGCGCAGCTTATTTCAGTTCTTCAACATCACAACGCACCAACAATGCGCCTTAACACACCTCTATTTTAGACCAGCACATGGTGCAAAAGGATTTGCAATTTAAACAATGTGGAGCAAAACATGAAAATTACAGTTGGTCTGAAAACAGCAACAAATCATGCCACATGTCTTGCACCTTATTGTGCCGGGTGTATGATAGGGCCCCATGTCAACAAATAAGAGGATTATAAATGTGGAGTTTTAGATGCACACATGGATTCTACAGTCTCCACAGACTGCTTTCTTCTGAGAAACTTATTTTGACATTTTTTTTAGTTTTTCACAGAGACAACTTTAGTCCTGTTTTAAATCTGTCATCATGATGACGCAAAGGCCTTTGTAGCTCTGCCCTCTATTGAGCACAATCTAATTTGAATTTAAAGTGACAGCAAAACAGAACAATTTGAATCAAAACCTTAAAGAGGTAGTTTCACAGAGTTATAAAAAATATTTTTATATTTTTTTTAAACCATTGACTCTGTGAAAAATATTTGTGGGGTATTTTGAACTAAAACATTACATACACACTCTAAGGACATCAGAGACTATTTTATATTTTGCAAAAAGAAGCTAAATAGGTTCCCTTTAACACATTATTTTAACAGTATTACCTATTGTATTTTTCTTAAAAAGTCTTTTTAGGAATGCATGAATGAATAAATGAATGAATGAATGAATGAATGAATGAATGAATGAATGAATGAATGAATGAGTGAGTGAGTGAATGAGTGAGTGATTGATTGAACGAAGGAACGAACAATCAAACAAACAAACGAACGATCGAACAAATACATGTTAAGGCTAATCTTATAAGTCCTCTGTATTAAATTTTCTACAGAACACATTTTGTTGATTTGCCTACTTATCCTAACATGTCTAGTTAACATAGTTATTATTATTTTATTTATTTAAGTTACACTTTAAGCCAAATACTAATATCTTGCAAAATAACTAGCAAAAGAAGGTCATCATGGCATAGACATTAGTTAGACATTTAAAAAAATAATTATTATAACTTTTATGCTTAAATCTGTAAAAAAAAAAAAAATAAATAATAAACATTTGGAAAGAATCAATCAATCAATCAATCAATCAATCAATCAATCAATCAATCAATCAATCAATCAATCAATCAATCAATCAATCAATCAATCAATCAATCAATCAATCAATCAAATGTCAGATAGTCATTCAGACAACAAACCAACCTAGCAACCAATTATCCAACCAAGCAAGCAACCAAGCAAGCAAGCAAGCAACCAACCAATTAATCAACCAAATAATCAATCAATCAATCAATTAAATCAAACCAAACCAAATCAAATGTCAGTTAGTTAGAAACAATCAAGCAAGTCAGTAAGACAACCAATCAACCAACCAACCAACCAACCAACCAACCAACCAACCAACCAACCAACCCAATACATTATCAATAATTTATTTGAAAAATTATTGATAATGTATTATTATTATAAAAAATACAGAAGGGATTATAATTTAATCTTAAACTGTATATAATTTCAATGTCCTGTCATGTACACATCCATGACAAAACAATAAGAGACATTTCAAACTAGTAAGGACATTTTATTTAAATAAAAATGCTGTAAATGTAAACTTTTAGCATATAATAAAAGCAGATGCCCTGATTCAGGCATTTTAGTGAGGTGGATTTTTAAAAACTTTTGTCGGTAAGAAAAAAAAAAAAAAAGATTTATTGTAATGAAAAATGCCCAAAAACATATTTAATCATTTATTCATTTTCCTTCAGCTTAGTCTCCATTGCATAGGTCGCCACAATGAACCACCAACTATTTCAGCATATGTTTTACACAGCGGATGCCCTTGCAGCCACAACCCGGTATTGGGAAACACCCATACACACTTATTCACACACACACTCATACGCTACAGACAATTTAGTTTATTCATTTCACCTATACCGCATGTGTTTGGACCAAAGGAAACCCAAGCCAAAATAGGGAGAACAAGCAAACTCCCACAAAATGCACAAAGCATTTATTTTCAATAATGCTATCAAAAATCATTTTAACTGTTAAACTCAAAACCAATCAAACTAGACTCTTTTACAGTCTAGTCAGAGTGATTTCAAGGAGAGCGAAAAACAACAAAATTGACAAAAAAAAAGTCAGAAACTCACAATTGTGGTGGTGTCCTGCATAATCAGATGGTTTAATCACACAAAACAGTGTCATTAACTGTTAAAAACTATTAAAACCATTGACAGCGCTAGTTTAACTACGCCCTTAACTCCAACACAGCCATGCTGCTTTTGCTGTCATTTATACACACATTCATAAGGAAATTTAGTGCTGTTGTTTAGGTGTGACTGTTTCAGGTGTTGACAAATTTAACACTTCATCCCAGAGGATGTGCATGTGTGTGTGCAATGTTCCACTTAAAAAAAAAA